TGGTGGTGGGTTGTGCTGCTGGTAGTGGTAGTGGTTGTGGCTGTGGTGGAGGTGGTGTGGTAGATTGTGGTGGTGGTAGTGGTGGTGGGTTTGTGTGGTGGTGGTGGTGATGGTGAATTGTGGTGGTGGTGGTGGTAGTGGTGGTGGTGGTGAACGCTGTGGTGGTGGTGGTGGTGGTTGTGTCGTGGGTTGGTGGTGGTGGTGGTGGATTGAGGCGGTGGTGGTGGTTGTAGTGACGGTGGTGGTGGTGGTGGTGGTGGTGGTAATCGTCGCTGCGTCCCCGCCGTCGCCGTCGCCGGCGCTGGCGCCAGGGGGTTGTTAACCCCCCCCCACGTTGGGCTGCTTCTGGTCATCGTCGCTGCGTCCCCGCCGTCGGCGCTGCTGGCGGCCGCCAGCGCCGGCTCTTGCGCCGGCGCTTGGGGGGGGGGGGTCATCACCCCCCCCGCATTTTGGGAGGGGGGGGGCCTCGGGAAGGGGGGGAGGGAGTCCCCTGGTTTTGATCGTCGGCGCCGAGTGTTTGGCCCCCCCCCCCCGGGTCGAACCGCGCCGCCGAATGTTCCCAAGGCGAGCGCACGTGAAACGCGCTCGCTCGCACATGTGCATGTGCATGTATATACACATGTACACGGCCATGCAACATCTATCTATATATATACACATATTTTTACATATATAGTATATACATACACATATACGTATATGTGTACGTATGCATATCCAGTTGTCAGCGGCAAGTTACGCCACCGTGGCAGCCTAGCATTCTGGGTGGCGACTGTTCAAGGGGACGCGGGAGGCCGTCACAGGTGACACTTTGTGTCTCTAAGCTTGGGGGAGCCGCGATGATGATGACGAGATGAGGATGATGGGGTAATGGCGACGACCAAGACTGCCACAATCTGATGATAAACATGAAGAACATGATGAGCATGATGAGTATGATGATGATGATGTGAATGATGGTTCTGGTGATGATGATGCTAAATATGATGAGGGTGGTGGTGGTGGTGGTGGCAATGTTGTTGATGCTGATGCTGATGCTGATGATGATGCTGATGCTGATGGTGATGTTGTTGTTGCTGCTGTTGACTCCCATCTTAGAGTCTAGAGTAATTATTGTTGATCCCCCCTCCTGGGCACATTGCGTTTTTCAATTAAAGTGCTCCTCCCGGGGCTCGCACCCTGCTTTTTTAACAAGGGAACATGACGGGCCACCACACCAAACTGGGCCCCTGGCCCCCGAGTTACAACAACAACGACCCCCGCGTGATATTTCCTCAAAGTGTATTCCCAACTCGCGCTCTCGCGCGGGAGTTCTTCACACTGTGTACAGGAATTGCGTTTTCGTGTGGGACATCCTCGCAATTTATTCAGACGCCGCGCCCTCGACATTCAGTAGTCACGCTCTCGCTTTGGCCTATCTCGCCATTTACTTGGGAACCGCGCTATCGTTCGAGACTTCTTCGCGATTCATCCAGGACGCACGCTTCAGCAACCCGCCTGCTCGACCTGGCCGCCTGAGCCCGCCTTCCCGTGCCACGTGTTTTCTGCTCCTAACCCCCCTCCTGCTACTCTCTCTCTCTCTCTCTCGTGCTCCATCCTCGTCCCTCCCCGTTTCCCTTTGTTTTCCATCCGTTCTCCTCTTCCCCTGCCGTAGGGGCTGCATGAAATACAGGTTCTGGGTGAGAAAGATATACCCCCCTACAGGGGGTGTGATCGAGCATGAAAATGACGGGTATCCAGGGTTTGGGATCTACGTGTTGAATGGCACGTGAGCAGATAAGAGCGATCAGTCTAAGAATGGTTGTTGGTGTTGTTGTTGTTTATGGTGGTGGTGGTGCTGCCGGTGGTGGTGAGGGACGGGCGTGGAGCCCTGGACGCCAAAACATTGCCCAACTCTACACGTCGAATCGGCACAAAGAGGCCCTATCGGGGGCTGCAACGGGGGGGGCCCAAAAAGGTTAGCGCAACCGAGAGTGGCATAGCAGAGCGCAGCACACACAGCAGAGCACGGCGTCGGCATAACACAGGATGGCGTAAAGTGTAGGCGGAATTGGGGCGCAAGCCTTGCCCAGAAGTCTGGCTATCCTCCCCCGTCCCCGCCGTCCCTACCTTTCCCTCTCTCTCTCTCTCTTTCGCACTCCCTCTCTCTCTTTCTCTCTCTCCCTCTCTCTCCCTCTCTCTCCCTCCCTCTCCCTCCGTCTCTCCTCCCCTCGCATGCTTGCGACAGGCCTTTGGCCAGGTGGCCAGGCCGCGGGGAGACGGAGGGAGGATGATGGTGAGACAGTGACGATGATGATGGCGATGTTAAGCATGAGGATGGCGGCGATGATGATGATGATGTTGATGCTGGGGTAGTTGTCGGTGTGGCTGCTCATGCCGCGAATGCGTTCAATAAGCACTTTTCACAAACAATATGTCTGACGCCTCAGTTGTTCAGCTGTGGTGCGCGTCGGCTCGTCTGCCCACTAATTTTATTTACGTCACAAAATCCATGTCCTTGTTCTTCGCCCATATCCGACTTGACAAGCATGTGTTGTTTTGCTGGTTTTGCGTTTTTCTGTTTCTGGCCGAAAGTA